CCATACGCTATATGCAAATAACACCCTTGAAAAGGTTATAGAATCTAAAGTTCCATATCTGAGTTGAACTTTCCGCTTTTGTTTTACTTAACTCATTGCATTAGACATGACATCTCTTTTACTGTTGATCTATTGGTAAAGATGCAGCACTGCGCCTACACGTACCCACTGAATTGGTATTAAAGATGTTTTCCGCTACCCTGAAGATACTACGGATTTCAGCTAATCTCTATGCATCCAGAGCGGATCCAACCCCTATAATCCTCGGAATGATGTTTTTCTTGATACTATGCCGCATGTATCAATTAGACGAAGGCATGATACATCAACGCCAAGACATATTGTGTCTACATCACATCAACAAAGAATTAGGAGATTGAAGTCAAGCAATCTGATCCCAGACAACCTTGCCAACCTCTTCACGACGCCACTACCGAAGTCTACCTTCTAGAAGCCTGTTTGAGAATTGGTATGTGTCACTATCTCATATGAAATGCTTGTAGTTCTCATTTGGAAGTTTTGTTAAACTCATGGGGCATCCAGAAGTATACTCACTCGATCGTAATGTAATCTTTTTCCCTACGCTTAGGAGCATTTTTCCTACTAGATTTTTGCTACCTAACTAGGTTTTAATGAGGCACCCATCCTGGATTGGCCATACACTTATGAGTTTGCTATTTGCGTCCAAAAGACGTATAGTTTTGACTTAATGCAACTTCTCACGTTGCTCCTTAGTCTATCAGTTTTTATCCCACCTTGGGCTTTATCATAGTGAGGTTTTGTGTGTTTGACCTTTTTATGCATTCTTCCGTTGATTTGAGACTCGCATTCGCTCATTGTGCCAACAACTTCATTAATTGTATTTACTTTATTGTTGAAGACCTGATGCGTTATTTACTTGAATATTTACACACTAAAGAAGAAGTGTTGCAATCTAATTAGGTTAAGAATGTGATTATATTTACATACTCAACGACTTCATCAATTGTATTTACTTCATATCAAAATATTTACTATGCATACTTTTCTCAAATATGAATTACCCCGTAGATTAATAAACTAAAAAATTGTAACTTACGCGTAGCACACCATGATTAAGAAAAACCTCTCGTCGTGCACGAAAAAGCGCATGCAAAAAGGTTAATTCTAAAAATACTTTTTAAATTATCTAAATTGCATATTACTAGAACGCTCTTTGTCAATCGAAATAGGATGAAAATACTATTTAGTCTTCTATGACAACAAAAAATTTAAGAGCAGTAACGTAATTTCACAAAACAAAATTTTATTATTTTTTATTTCAATCTCACCCATGGTCTAAAATATCCATAATATCTCGATATTTCCATTGAAATTTCCGTGTTTTTGGACTATCGATATTTTTTTGAACTACCGATATTTCCGATATCATCGATATTTTAGACCTTGCTAAGTCACTCATGTATTTTACCATGCAATGTATAAAGTGTAAAATATTGTACTAATTCATTATATATAAATGATTATGGTGTGTTTAAACTTCTTTCATTAATTACTACATATTTTCTACACTCATAATGTTTGTCAGCTCGCTATATAATCAACTTAAATCAGTTATATCTATCATGCAATGCATTTCCTTCCAATTTTTTGTGATAAACTAATAGATAATTAACTAAATAAACATCCTGCAAAGTTTCAATAAAAATTTCCAAGTTTTTCTTACAATTTCCATAGTTTTTATTCAATTTTTATCGATATCGATAATATCCCGATATTTCCATCGAAATTTCCGTATTTTTAGACTACCGATATTTCCAATATCATCGATATTTAATACCTTAATATCACCTACAAATGATTTTAACATCCTTAATTTTAAAAATTAAAAAATAAAACTCTCTCTCTACTCCCACGTTCTCAGTCACTTACTTCCTCTCTCTCTCTCCCTCAATTTTAAAAACAAAAATAATTTTTTTAAATATTTTATAAACACATGATCTTGTTGGTTTAATCAGATGCGAAAATTAAAGAGAGGAATCTACATTTTCTACGACCAAGCGAACAGAGGAATAGAGGGTTAGGATGGCCGATTCATCTTCGTCTCCTTCACAGTCCTTCGTTACAAAGCATTGGGAGGGTTACAAGGATTTCTGGTGCGAGCGATTCTCCTTCCTCAACAACTACTCCAAGTTCGTCAAGCGGGACAAGCCCCTCCCTCCCTGGTCCGACTCCGACGTCGAAGCCTTCATTGCTCTCGACCCTGTCAATGGCCCCGCTGTAATTTCTTACCCTTCTGTCTTTCTTCCATTTTATTCCTTTTTATAATTGTTTAGGGTATATGGGTTTCTTTGATTTCGTGTTTTTCTGACCTTTGTGGATCTGGGTGTACGTATTTTTGTTTCTCTTTTGATCTTTTTTCTGTTTTTTCATCTGGGTATTTGTTAATTTTTTTCTCCTTGATTCAATTTTGGAGATGTGCCCCTTTTTGTCGAATTTCTTGATTTCATTTTGGAGCTGTGCCCCTTTTCTTTTTTCGAGATGAATAATGTTGGTTTGAGTTGATGTATTCATCTGGGTGAGGTTTTTCCGTCTATTGTTTCATTATTTTTTTCGCTTATTGTTTATGCTTGGTGCCTTTCGGTTACGAATGAGTGAGGTTGGTGCTTTAATGTTTGGATGGTCTACGGGTGGGGTGTTTAAATGGCTTAGGCAAAACGATGAATGGATGTTCAGAAATTTGCATTAGATTTGATTCGAGACTGTTGTTTTTTTGGCATGAAAGTAATCAAAATAAGCGACATGCAGTGTTTGGAGTTGAATTTTAGTTTATTGATGTTTTGAAGAGAAGGAGTAACAAACCTGAAATCAAACTGATGCGCATGAACCAGTAGAGAAAGCAAAGAGCTATGTGGCTGGAGACTCCGTCCTTATTTTCTGTCATGTATTTCTGGTGGCATTTTGTTTGGGACCCTTTGAAAATGCTTTGTAAGCGGACATGTCTGGTTATTCGTGGAAACAGTCAAGATTCTTGATTGTTAAGAAATTTTGTCTATTTACCTGAGCAAGCAAGTAAACAACTAATCAGTCTTGCCCTCGGAAATTATCGAGGTTCACTCCAAACAAACTGTATTTTGTATTTCCAGTGTGGAAAAGAAACACGTCTAAATTGCTATTCTCTTCTTTTTGGTATCTTTTCATATGTCTTGTTATGTTGCCACCGGCCTCCACCTGAAATGCAGCATAAATGAAGTGGAAAAGCATATCTGATTTTGTTTACCTTATATATTTAGATTTCTTATTTATTCTTTTGCAGCTCTAAGTAGTGGCTTTGTGCCACTTAGTACTGCGGTCTAGTGATATTCCTCTTCACTTGTAAGTGAGAGGTCTTAGGTTCGATTCTCGCCAAAGGCGAATTTGAACCACATTATTGCTAGCCCATTTTGAGGCTAAGCCCACCCTCTCCCCCTTAGTGTAAATAATGTTGTTTGTTCAAAAAAAAAAAAAAAAAGTGGCTTTGTATTTCTTGTTCAAGACAAAAATGAAAGGTTTTCTAAATGCAAACAAATACCATTTGCTAATCTTCTGTTCCAATCATGTATTATACTATTTTCTGGTAACCCAGTTATTTTGCCTGCAACTTGACAAGATGTCTGCTAATATGATAACCGAGTCTCATCTTATGGTTCAATGATGCATTTTCTGTACAGCTAAGGTGTGTTTTCTTTGAATAGCTGAGTTAACACGCTTTTGTTTTGCAGCTGAAGACTGCTAGGGAAGCAGTGAACTTTGGTCTTACGGGAAGTGTTATTGGAGCGGTATCAACTGCTGGCTTTGCGTGGAAATATTCAAGGAGTTTACATGGTAACAATTTGCCTTTTCTTTTAGGGTTTACGATTCTATATGAACAAGTACTGCACAAGGATCAGATGTATCTGGTTCCTTGTTTTTACCTTCACTTAATAAGCTGGCTATTAGTTGGATCTCTAATTATAGCACCACTTCTTCAGTTCGGCCTGACATTTTTTTTGCTTTAAAGTTCAACATTTTCTTTAAACAACCTTTCAAATTTGTGGATGAATAAAAGATGCATATCTAATAATTGGACACATCAACACATCTTGATATCTTATTGATGTACTAAGTTCGTGTTCACTGGCAAAAGATGCTACTTATGAAAATGATAGTGCTTATAACTGGGTATGATAAGATGGACTGACATTGATTTCTATCAGTGGCAAAAAGAAAATATCGTATGAATAGTTCATTATTTCTTTCTTATGTTTTTTTTTTTGTTTTCCATTCCACTTGGCCTGCATTGTCTATCTATATTCTTGAAGCATAAATTTCTGCAAAAATTTGGATATATTTAGTACACGAATTTTACCCTTTCCTTTATTGGTTCCTGTATGCTTTGGGTGTACATGGGTGTGCCGTGTTTCCAATAAACTACCTTCTTTTATCAGGGACTTTGTCTCATTGGTTATTTTGTGGTGTCCTGTAATCTCAAGGTTCGTATGCAGTGGAAGAAATTTTCCTTGTAATCTAGGTTCTTGTTTCAACTGTTTCCCTTTCCAAGAGCCGGACTTTATTTAATCTGTAGCCTTCATTGTTGAAAGCAAATTAAGATTAAGCAGTCAAGCTTTGGTAGGGAATCATAAAGCAGCGGTAGGTTATGATGCAAATATTCCCTTTGTCTATTTGAGTGAGCTTATGGTCGTGCATACAGAATAGGCTGTGAAGATATTAGTAACATGTCTTGGTAGGAATCAACCTTATTCCTATATTACATGTTGTAGTGTATTACAACAGATGAGTGCTATCGCTCGGTGATGCATATGACATCTGTCTAGGAATTTTAACTTGCAATCTTCATATGTTTCAATCAGGAGCATTACGATTGACGATAGGTTCTTTTAGAATACATTATGTTATGGATGGGAGGATCTGGTTTCTGAACCCTTATGCATTTGGCAGGTGCTGGACTGTCCTTTCTAGCTGGAGGTGTTTTTGGCTGGACATTTGGACAGGAAGTTGCAAATCACTGGCTGCAACTTTACAGGTTCGACGCCTTGGCTGCACAAACCAAGTTCCTTGAGTGGTGGCAAGAAAAGAACGAGAGACGATCTTAAACATGGCTTGCTCTCGGAAGCAAAGATAATAACCGTTGTTCCAGTTGTACAATAAGAAGCAAACACACCTGTGTTGAAAATTGTAATGGGAAAAGATGGTATTCACTTTATATTTGTGCTAGATTGTTTTCTTTTGGGCTCTCAAGAAAATCAATCTGATTGTGAACTTTGTGGACTGTGATGGATTTTTCGTGTGCGGAGAAAATTGTTGGATTTGGTGATTATTTCAGATGTTACAGGTGACGTGCGATCTTGGATGCGCATTTGACTTGTGACCCAAGGACGAGGTTTACAATTAAAATGCGTGTCTCTGGCTTCGTTAGAGTAGGATGGCATGACAAACTTGAATAAGAGTTTTGACACCACTCAAGTAAATTGTACAAAATGGGCTTACGGTGGTTGTCTATTCCAAGATAAAATGATGTTCTTGCAAGCAACGCAACAGTCAAACTCGGTTCACGTATTACCTCTACTGCAATGATCGCTGTACTTCCCCCGTTTTCTGGACACTAATCAAGGAAAGCAATTTTTGGATCTGAACCCAAGTTGCTTCCATCGATTTAAAATCGTTTTTGGCCTGCATTGCTTTCTTCACCCAAGTTTTATCATGCATACAATGATCCAGAAGCAGCTTCTGGCTGTGCTCAAGCTTGCAACGGAACTCATCCATTTCGGTTTTGTGGTTGGAATTTAACTCCTCCAATTTCTCCAAATTACCTTTTTCTTCAACCAATTTTTTCTCCAGCTCTTCAACCCTTGATTTTTGTACAATGATGCAAGCTTGCAACTTTTCTTCATCCGCTTGAGCTTTTGAAAAAAGGCGATTATAGACTTCTACTTCTTGTTCCAGTGCTATCTTCTGATTAAATTTTTTTCTCACTTCAGCTACGGTTCCATTGGCCTTGTGGTACTTGGACTTCACAGCAGCAAGCTTCACCTGGACATTTTCAATGTTCGCATACTCAACTCCAGTTCGGTCATAGGCGTTTAGCAAGATTTCCAATGACAACTTCAGGTTCCGTAAACATTCAATTTCCATGACTTCATCCATAGAGAGTGCGGTGATACTTTGGATCTTGGCCTTGGCTTGAGAAATCTCATAGGAATCAGGAATGGGAGCATCTTCAGTTATAGCCAAGAGACAAGCATCTGGATGATGATGGAGATAAGTATCCAGAAAGTCCAAAGCTCGGGCAGAATGCAGGGGCTTTGACATCTAAAGTAAGAATCAGTAAGCATCATAACATGTAAGTGGATACGAAATAGTCGAGATAGATACAAATTACCTTGACATCAAGATTGTCATGAAAATGGGAGCGGTAGGAACCACTTTCTTTACTTATAGTATTTGGATGCGATGACACTGCTTGAAGCGGGGATTGAGCTACTTGAGGAGGCCGAGATTCAGCTGATTCTTCACTGGGAGGAGATGAAATTTGACTAGGAAGCTTCGCATTTGAAGCATCCGCAACCTCAGTAGGTGGCACATCTTCCAGCTTAGGAATACTGTTATGTTCAGTTACTTCAGCAATGTGTTGCATATCTAGATCAGATTGTTGTCTTTTTGACAGAGGAGGACTCGTGCTTTTCTCATAGATGGCTTCCTTAGCCTGAGAATAGAATTCAGAATCGGACTTTGTTAGATTAATCAAAAGCCGGTGCACTTCTTCTTTGGTTATCCTTGTCTTTCCAAAACTTTTGCCTCGTCTAATCTCGGATTCATTTTTGGATCGATGAGTGGTTCCTTGGCTTGCCAAAACCTTTGCCTCAGTTGGGTTGGCATGAGATAGATACTTCCCCTTTATTATACTTCTCCAAAACGGAAATGCTTTTTTGGTCGTTCTTTTCTTACAATGAGCTCTCCCTCGTCCACTCAGGCATTGAAAAGTAGGCAGAGGATTTGCTTCTTCTCCATCCTCAACTTGCGGAGCCACACATTTGATTCTTTTTTCTGGTGGGTGTACTTGCAGTCGGTCAGAACAGGGGCGTTCAGTTTGTATAAGGGTTGACTCTGCATAAACAAGAATAAGAAGAGAAAGTTACGAACTTTGAAGATCAAATATTGAAGCCTTCAAACGTAGTCAGCCATCGGAAAGGTCAACTCATGTAACAACTATTGAAGCCTTAAAAATGTAAGCAGGTTGACCAACCCAGTTAAACTTAAGAGCAATCTGAATAAAGTGGAGTACAAATTAAGATACTTGATCCATCAGCCTTTACAATTTTGTTGCAGTACTTCATTAGGATTAATATAATAGTTGATTGATAAACTGTCTCACACAATTGATTAGGCAAGTATTTCAGATTGAACGTACCTTTACGCTTCTTCAAAGCATCATTTGCCTTAAGGGGAGGAAGTGGTCTGTTCTGGTCCAAGTCTTGAAGCTTGAAAAGATGGATTAAATCTTGATCACGAGGAAACACTTCCTCATAGTATTTTGCCCACCAGCCTTTGAACGATGAGGTGGCTCTAGGTAGAAGTGAAAATGGAACAAATTTAAGTTTCTTGAACAAGTGAGATGCGGTAGCCTCAAGCTCCTGGAATTGTTCGGAACTTTGAAACACTGTCCTCTCAGAAAAGTCGGTATTGAAAGAAAAGAAAGGGGGAGCAGGAACGTCCTGAATCAAGCCGAACTGACGGGCACAGAGATTTGGGCAATATGCTTCCACACCACAAATTTTTTTTCCAGATTTTCCACAAGTGATACAACCAGGAAGATCACGGCTAACCAGAAAGCTTGCCCACATGTCCAGGATTGTAGAAATTCCAGTTTTGGTCATTTCAGACCGAGGAAAGATCAACCATCGAGGCAACGCATCTGACTTTGAATATGGCATGAAGTTAAAGTTCTCTTCTGTGTCTAAGTGGCTCAGGTACAATAAACAATCGTGAAAGGAAAACTCGGGTCCTTCGAAAAATACATATTTCAGTCCTTCACAAGTGAGGTTGGGTACTGAAAAGCAACTGGGACGTACTTTAGGAAAGTATGTGTGAAGCCAAAGTTGAAGAATCCAAATTGGACCACCAGCAGCACCCAACTCTGAATCAAGCAAGTCCTTTATCCCTCTATACAAGTAAGCAAGAACAAGGGGTCCTAAAGCGTACGGCTCACCCCTAGATAAAGCCACAGCCAAGGGTAAATTGGATGTAACAATCTTGAACGAACGAGAACAAAGGAGGTAACGACAAAGCCAGTAGTGAAGAAATGCCACATGCTCTTCATCTGTCACAAGGCCCTCAATTTTGTTATGTTCTTTAATAAAGGAAGAAAAGGAGGAGTTCTTTGTAATTCGAATGCCAAAGTTATCATCCGGAATGGAGATGGAATTAGCAACGAGAGCATCAAACTGGGGACCATCTGGTCTAAGTCCTAGCAGAGCACTAAGATCTAACAGAGTAATAGTAAGGGGACCATGACGAAGATGAAAAGAGTTTGTGGAAGTTGACCAAAAGCAGAGTGCAGCAAGTACTAAAGAACGATTGAAAGGAATGGCAAACTTAGAGAATTGGAGAATATCATATATTCCCGCTTTATGCCAAATATAGCCTTTTTGATCTTCGACTCTTTCAAACCAAGGGACCCAATTAGGGTCGTTAGTAGGCCACAAACCACGGTGTTCATAAAACCTTTCGTAGAATTTGGCATTTTGATTGTTTAGAAGAAACTCTTCAGTTTTCCGCTTAGGAAACTCACTATTATAACAATCAGGTAACCTTTTTGTGGATTTCAGAGCAGGACCTAAGATAAAGTGTTGGGAAGTCGAATCAGGGATAAGTACTTGAAAATTTGTAGTTTCGGTGCCTATTTGCTCCTTCAGGTGGTTCAATCTGTCAAGAGCCTTGGCGTTGGCGTCAGCCGATTCATTGCTGGTGGATGTAAGAGCCATGTTTCCACACAGAGGTCCTCCTGCTTATAGAAAATTTCAACACAAAATAAAAATTACTATTTTTCCAGACTGGTATCACCAATCTTCCATTGTATCATTCAAATTTTAAATTTTAACCAAAACTTAAATAAACAATTTGGGTTAAAAAAAAAACTGCCTTGCAGACTTGCGGTGCGCCCTTTTTCCCCCAAAAAGCTCAAGAAAGCAACTGCACAAACAGATTAAAAGCAAATAAAATTAGGGTTACATGTATGACTGTGAGTAGTTAGAAAAGAAACGATCCGACGATTAAGACAAGCATGCAATGCATCAGACAGAAGAAAAATAATAGAAATGGAGTAGATGATAAAACTAGGGTTAGGGTTTAGCCTTTAGCTTTGCACATTTCAATGGAAACAATTACTGCTAAGTTGAGGCATGGCATGAAAAAACTTGCACGCACAAACCAAAACAAGTAGATAGCTCAAAAGAAGCTTTAATTCCAAGATAATGAAGAATCATAATTTTTACCGATTCAAACGAAACAAAGAAGATCAGAATCAGTTCTCTTCTTTTTCTACACGTTCTTGTTTTGTTGTTTGTGTTGGAAGAAGCGAGGGGATGGAAATCTTTTTACAGTGGAAATGGAGCAACTGAAGCCTGCAGGGAGAGGAGGCTGAGAAGTCTTGTGGTGTACTCTTCTATTACTGTTTCTGTCTTTTAAAACACAAAATATTTTTGCTCACGGGTCACCGCTCACACATCTATACTAGCTATAATACTCATCATCTTATTTATTATTATCAAATAAAATTTAAATTTAATATTAAGCGCAAATTTCCATATTTAAATTTATTTAACAAAAAATAAGTGAATTTTAACGAAAAGTTTCAGGTACTGTTTATTTTAATGAAAAATCATATTTTTACACTAAAAAGTCAATCCTAGTATTATTTACTTTACCCTTTATTTTATCTTTATCGTTAAAACTCACAACTTTCAAATCATTTGAATTAGTTTTCCTTATAAATAAATAGAATGATGACAACTTTCAAATCATTCGCATTAGTTTCCTTATAAATAAATAGAATGATGGACACAATTGAGCAAAATTGCACCCTTTCAAGCATTACTTTTTCTCGGGAAGAGCATGTCATTATATCAAACAAAGAATTTTAGTTGTTTTCAAGAAGTTATATTTGAATTGATTCTTTACCTTAGTAATTAAGTCAAAAAAGGGTTTCCGAAAGAAAAAAAAAGTCAAAAAAGGTGATTAAAGTATTCTTCTTCACTAATATTTATAATATGGTTTAATGATTTTTTTTTGTTTGTTAATGAAAATTTTTAGGTTCAAATCTCGTGAATGACAAGTTCGATATCAATTTATTTATGTAATTATTAGTAAATTGTAAATAAAATAAAATAAAATACAGACACTTATAAATTTTAGAGCTTAGAGTGGTGTAAAAAAAATAAAAAAAGTCTCTATTTTAGATAACTTACCATATTTAAGTACTTTACTTTACCACATTACTTTCCATATGAAATTCCTACCATCCATAATTCAGATATTTTTATTCTTTTTCAATCATATTAATAGATAAAAATGTATTAAAAATTCAATTTTTATAATTTAAAAAAAAACTAATTCAGTGTTTATGAGCGTAACAAACTTATATTAGCAAAGTCAACATCAATGCAAAAACAATTTATGTTTAAAAATAAATCATAGGTACAAAAATATATATCGGTACCTAAGCTTTGGTATGTAATTACGTTACGGAAATATTGGTACATAAGTTTTGGTACAAATGTTTCAATATGTAACTATAGTATCTATACATACAGTGGCGAAGCCACGTGAGGGCGAGGAGTGGCCGCCGCCACTCCCCTCGCCGGGAAACACCACTGGAGAGCTGGGTTCGCCACTCCCCTCGCGCCTCGTCGGAAAACCCTGGTTCATCTTCTCCTCTGTTTTTGCTGGGCAATCTGTTCTGCGCGCAGCAGATTGCTGTTTTTTTTTTTTTTTAAATCCAAGCCAAAACGACGTCGTTTTGGGCTTAAAAATTTTAAAACAAAACAGCGCCGTTTCAGCCATTACCAATATGTTTCATTTCTCCATTGGTTTCACAGCCACCCAATTGGGTGTCTCTTGTTTCTGATTCCCCGCGGGCTTGTACCTGTGCAACTCGAGAATCTTGTGTTCGAGCCTGACGACAAGGATTGAAACTTCGTTGCCTCGCTGGGTTGTGGTGGTGGATCTGCTCGTAGAAATCGTACAGCTCCCAGAGGTGGTCCAGCGGCAACGGCGGCGGCAACTGCAGTGACATCCTCACTAACGATTATGCCGTCGTTTTTGGTACTATCTTTAATTCCATTGTTGACTCAATTCAATTTTTTATAACCCCGAAACAATAAAAAGTGAAAATTTGGGTTGGGTTTTTGTGGATTGGAAATTAATTGCATTGCATAGAATTATAGCGTAATGTTGTTATTTATTATTAATTATTGATATGAACCATTTGATGAATGAAATTGTTGATATTGATATGAATGAATATTGATGAATGAAGATTAGTGATGAATTTGTTGATTATTGATAATTTGAATTATTGAATAATTTATATAATTACTGATATTGAGTAATTGAATTGTTAGTTTAATTAGTTATTAGTCATATAATAAAGTTACTCTAGCATTAATACATTACGAGACTGTAACTTTTTAGTTATTAGTCATAACATAAAATATCGCCAACAATAATTGTAACTTTCTATGTAAAGAATTTGATTGTCTACATTGTTTTAGAACCCTTTACGCTTTTAAGTTTCGCCCCTCCGCTCGACAATTTCTGGCTTCGCCACTGTATACATATATAGATACGTAATATGCATATACATATATATAGAGAAATTCACGCATGAATAGTTGATGATATATGACTTTTCTTATTATGGGATGGACAAATTTTTAATTGTTTGCAAGGATCAATAAATAACCTATACACAAAACAAACTCAATAATTATTATTACAATCTAATTAATATAAAAAAATTACAATTAAATGTCAAGGACTAGCGTTTAGCTTTTTAATCTTGCACAAGGTTTTATTCTAAAATGGATATTTTTCAACGATTATAATGAAATTTTCTGAAAAATATCTAGCTTCACTTGTAGGTAGAAAATGTGACAGCTTGTCCCGGACGTATATATTATTTATCCTCGAGAGCGTGGGAAAACTATTATACCCTTGTTATTATTGAGTTGTGTGTGTGTATTAACTAAGGTTTTGGACCAATAGGTTCTATCCTTTATTATTTGGACCTAATTAGAACTAAAGACTTAAGATTTTGGTTGGTTGACTGCAAACTAGACCACACACACATACCTTCCCCTTATCCCGTTGACTCTCTCTCCTTCCTCTCGCATTTTCTTCCATGTCTGTACAATTGTACAAACAAACCTTGAACCCTCCATTTCACGCAGGGATCGAGCTCGTGGTTAGCATCATCGTCTTCATCTCATCGTCACACACTCATCTATACCATTTTTAGAACGTGAATACCTCATTTTCCCGAGAACCCAGTTTTGGGTCACTGTTCATGCACTTGTGTTATCGAAGTTTTTAAGAGATTTAAAGCTACTAGTGAGCTTTAGGACATCTTCACGAAGCTCGAAGAAGAAAAACGAAGTGAATTGGACGTCGGGAAGTCGAGTTTGGTGAGTTTCAAGTTTGGTCGGATTATCGAGGTTCCCCTGCTGAAATCTCGTGGATTTCAAGGCTTGAAAGTGGTAAGGTTTGTTCCTCTAGTCCTAAGCTTCATTTTGGTACAAATTTCATGAAATTTGGTTGAGAAATGAGCGGGAAATGACGATTTGAAGTTTTTCAATTTTCCGGGGACGGAGTCGGTCATTGGAGTTTGAAGGTTGAAGACGACGAAATATTCCGTCAAGTTTGACGGAATATTCTGACGGCATCAGGTTAGTTTTAATGAAATATGCTGTTTTTTGAAGGAATATTCCCTATCGCCATTAAAGATTCTGTTAGGCACGTGGCCGCGTGTGGGGGAGCGTCTGGCCGTGCCCTTGCAGGCGCGTGGGGCATCGCAAATTTTTTCTAAAAATATGGGGGTGTTCCTGAGGTTGAGTAGGTTATGGTGGTATATTCAAATGCCCTATTTGAGCATTGTATGAAAAGTTCATTCCTAGTTTTGTGTATATGCTTTAAATAACGTTTATTCAGTTATTTCGCATATAGGTGAGACCTATCCTGAGGACGAGCACCATCAATCGAGGCTCGGGGGCTACGACCCTTCGACATATCAGTGAGTGGGCTTTTGGTTTTCCGTATATACCTATATACTTGAGATTTTTCCTAGAAAATGAATTTGAATGATTATACGTTTTGAAATGCCATGCAAAGTATCTACCTATTTTATTTGTGCATTAGTAAGTTGCATATAATTATGATTGGTGATGCGGACGCACAGGTAAGTGCCAGGTAAGTTCATAAATTAAAGATGTGAGATTACTTCAGTTATGCGAGTTATGATGTGATGTGATGAGAGCTCATAAACTTGCACCCGGTGTTAGTGCTCCCGCCCAGAGTTAGGGCACAATCCTTCATGTAATGTTCACCTCCCACACCGTATGCTCACCTTGGATCCAAGTTAGGTGCACAGTCTTGTCGTACAGACCACTTTAGGTGGTTTCGACTCGTAGGTGACCCGCGATTATTCGCACAGCCTTTACGTGATCGTAGCACTATAGCATATTTAATTTACACCTAGTCTTGTCATACAGACCACTGTAGGTGGTTCCGACTCGTGTGCAGGATTTGATTTGATATGATTGAGATTGGTTATGAGCTATATACTCAGCAGTGCAGTTTGAGTTAGAGAGATTTGGCTGATGCGATATTTGACATTTATATATTTTGCCTGGTTTATCTATAGCATTGCATTGAGATACTTTGGCATGGTATACTGATATGAGCATATTTATGCGCCTTAGTTAGCTAGTTCTTATGCATTTTCGTTATGTTTTCTTAGTTAAAGTAGTCTTTTAAGCTATTTTCATGTGTTTTCAAGTTTTAAGGGCGTATTATACAAATAGATGCAAATTGGAGCTTTTGGAGCACAATTGAGCTTGGATTGGACATCACATACTTGGAGCCAAAAGAATGGACGAAATTGAAGATTTGAAGATGATGATTCCTACTTGAACAAGGTTTCCTAGTTGAAGTAGGAAAGTGCCTAATTAAAGATGGAATCCTAGTTGACAAAGGATTCCTAGTTGACAAAGGATTCCTAGTTGAAGTGGGATTCCTAGAAGATTGAAGATTTCTACTCAAACAAGGTTTCCATTCTTTGAGTCTAGTTTAGTGTTTTAAACTTTGTTTTAGTCTTTTAGAGTTTAGAGTTTAGAGTTTAGAGTTTAGAGTTTAGAGTTTAGAGTTTAGAGTTTTAAACTTTCTAATTGAAGTGGTTTGTTTTAGTCTTTTAGAGTTTAGTTTTGCATTCTTTGAGTCTAGTTTAGTGTTTTAAACTTTGTTTTTACGTTTTGAATCAGATTTCAAGTGATTGAGCAATCCCTCCTAATCCCCGGCCTAGAACGATCCCTACTTACATACTTTGCTACAATTGATAAAAGAGGGTTTAATTTGTGTGCTTATATATTTCGCATCATATACTTCTATGGATTTTCATCTTGAGTATGATTTCTGATTCAGATTATTATTATTATTTTCTGGGAAGTTATACATGTTTTACGGCGAGGGGTTAGAACTTTTGAGAAATGAAATGATTTTGAAAAGCTTTGTTTTTGCCCACTCACACTTTCTGTTTTACGCCCTTCCAGGTTTTAGGTAGAAGTGCTTGGTGGATCACGAGGATTGGGATGGGGGTTCTGACAAAATATCATTAATGTAGGATCACCTTTGGGTGTTGAATAATTAGTACTTGTCCTACTTGACTGCACTTAGGATATTTATGCTATGGTTGTGTATTTCACGTTTAATCTCACACTAACACTTTATCTTAACTAGTTCTGCTAGTAGTTTGGTTTTTATTCCTTTGCAATTCCCTTATATCTTTATTGCTTCCGCACTGTGCACATGGTTACGTCACTCCCACATGACGGCCAGCATGCCCTGATTTAGGTCAGGGTGTGTCAGTTTGGTATCAGAGCATTAGGTTTGCAGTCCTGCATGTCTTGAGAATTTCTAATTATTTTGATGTCTTCTGTCAGAACTATGCCGCCTCGTAGAGATCCACGTCCTTCTGTTGAGCCTAGTTTCCCCAATATAGCTCAGTGAGGGGAAGCTATAGCAAATGCTATTCAGTCTTCGCTTCGTCCTCCCCAAAGAACACCCCTTGAAAATGTGTATAACCTGAAGCTGAATCATTTTATATGGAATGAAGGACATGAAGGAGCGGAGAAATGGATTAATCATATTGAGAAGACTTTTCGTGTAATGCAGAGTCAGGGGAATCTTCCTCCTGATAGGTAGGTCGAGACGACTACCTGGTTTTTAGGTCAGGAGCCTGCATCCTGGTGGAGACAGGAGTCTTATCAATTGACCCCAAAGGAAATTGCGGACTGAGAGGTATTTAAACAGTTGTTTCAGAAAAGGTTTATTCCCCCTGAGTATATTGATCACAAAAAGCAAGAGTTTACTCAATTAAAGTAGGGGAAGATGACGGCAAATGAGTATTATAGGAGATTCACTGACTTGTCTCGTTATCATCCGAAGGTTGCTGCTAATCCAGTTGCGATACTCCGTCATTTCAGGTTGGGTACAAAAAAGAAATGGCGTTATATAGCGACCTTAACTCCCTGTGCTGCTTACTAGGAGTTTTATGAGATTTTGTTGAAGATTGAGGACTCAGAACACATGCCCAATGAAAGTGAAGATGAAGAAGAAAAGAACGGGAATCAGAGGCGAGATGATAAAGGTAAAGGTCAGTCTTCTCAAGGACCTTATAAGACTCAGAGTTTTAAGAGGAGTGGAACTAGTTCTAGCTCTTCTAGCAGAGGTTTTAGTGCCACTGGTCAGAGTGTTATCCATTCAATTCAATGAATCTAAGGAAATCTGATAATCAATTGGTGCAATCTAATTAATTTGGGGCATTGTCATTCATGGTTTATCGAAAGAATAACTGGAAATCGATTCGTATGCCTATGTTTTATGTGTGGAGAAGGAACCCTCTAACTAGCCTTTCACCCATTCTATTTCATTCAATTTCGAGTTTTTAAAGTTTGTTTTACAAGTTTCTGTTTTTAAGTTTTAATTTCGTCAAAACAAATTCCCTTTTTCTTAAGTCTTGTTTTTAGAGTCAAAACCTGTTTTCTTTTAGTATTTTGAGTCAAGTTAAGTTTTATTTTCGTCCAAATCACTTGTTAGGTCTAGAATTGAGTCCTCTTGATTGTTTGTTGCTGTTTTGAGTATTTTAAGTCAGTTTTGAGTCTATAGAGTCTAGAATTCGAGGCATTGTCATTCATGGTTTATCGAAAGAATAACTAGAAATCGATTCGTATGCATATGTTTTATGTGTGAAGAAGGAACCCTTTAACTAGCCTTTCACCCATTCTATTTCATTCAATTTCGAGTTTTTAAAGTTTGTTTTACAAGTTTCTGTTTTTAAGTTTTAATTTCGTCAAAACAAAATCCCTTTTTCTTAAGTCTTGTTTTTAGAGTCAAAGCTTGTTTTCTTTTAGTATTTTGAGTCAAGTTAAGTTTTATTTTCGTCCAAATCACTTGTTAGGTCTAGAATTGAGTCCTTTTGATTGTTTGTTGCTGTTTTGAGTATTTTAAGTCAGTTGTGAGTCTATAGAGTCTAGTTTAGTGTTTTTTAGTCTTATTTGCATTGATTAGCAGCCCTAATTAATCCCCGGTCTAAAACGATCCCTACTTACATCTTTACTACAATTGTCAATAATAGGGTTTAATTTGTGTGTCGAGTTAATTTTCTCATCAGATTGCAACATCCCACATCGCCCAATGGAGTGGATCTTGTAAGCCTTATATGTATATTCCTATCTCTACCTAGCACGAGGCCTTTTGGGAGCTCATTGGCTTTGGGTTCCATTGGAACTCCGAAGTTAAGAAAGTTCGCGCGAGAGTAATCGCATGATGGGTGACCCATTGGGGAGTTCTCGTGTGAGTTCCCAGAAACAAAACCGTGACGATGTGGTCCGACCCAAAGCAGACAATATCGTGCTATGACGGAGTTGAACTTGGGATGTGGTAGGGGCTCGAGCCAGGATATGACAAGGCTCGTGTTGGATCGAACTAAAGGTTCATAATTATCATAAGGCCCTAAGGCAACTATATAGTCCATCAACGAATGCAAAGCTTATGTTAATAGTACCATATACTCTTACTTTAAAAACCGTTTTACAAGCACAATGAGAGTATCATATACTACTAAATCAATCATATGGACCAATAGTTGTAATAGAACCAAATTGTTTTAATAAGATTAAAATGTGTGCTTATATATGATGAGACTTAAAAACCCTCAACCAAACCGTTATTAAGTTGACAAGCGTGAAAGTGCTTTGAACACTCTTTTGTGGCCTTCCACCACGGTAGGCTCCAATCGTTTGTGACTTATACACCGAATTCCTATCATAGGGGAGTACAAAGTATGTGCTTACACTCAGGATGAGTTTTATATGCATACATATGTTGTGAAGGTAGGCAACGAGAATGATCAACATCATATCATTGTGAACTTGTTCTTAAACCCCTACCTGAACTTGCATGGTGGGAATGACTTAACTAAGTGCAATGGAGCCAACATCATATCATTGTGAGGCATCATTCTCTAGAGGCCAAATAAGATGGGTACTTACATGAGATGCAAATGAGTAAGCGTACGCTCTCATTATTATTAATGCTAGCCAACATCATATCATTGTGAAGTGAGCTTGGTAATAGTGAGCCTTCCATACCCTACTAAGAGTTTCCTCCAAAACTCTCGAATTCCAATGAGGGATATGGAATTTGCCAAAAATAGTGGGTGCACTATTTGATTTAGAGGCCCAGATCAAATAGCTTAAAATCAATCATTTTATATTCGTTATGTATTTATTTATCGATATATTTGCAAACGCTATCCAAAACTTGACAAAGAAAAGCCGAAGGCTTTAGTTTCCGGACTTGGTACCACAATCCCATAAATTGTCTTGAATGGATTGTATATGTACCTAAGTAGTCACATCCTCACAATCTTCCTATTGACAATGTATCAATGGAAGGACATGTTAGATAAGTCTATCATAAAGAGGA